AGCAGGAGCAGCAGCAGCGCCAGCAGGAGCAGCAGCAGCAGCAGCAGTGCCAGCAGGAGCAGCGGCAGCAGTGCCAGCAGGAGCAGGAGCGAGCAGGAGGGAACAGGAGGGAACAGACGGAGCGAACAAAAGGAGCGAACAAAAAGAGCGAACAAAAGGAGCGAACAAAAGGAGCGAACAAAAGGAGCGAGCGGCGAGCAAGGGGAGAGAATAAAAAGAGCGAGTGTAGGATCAGCGAGCGGAACGAGTGAGCAGCGGCGCAAGGAAAATGAGGAGGAGCGAGGAGGAGGATGAGGAGAAGCGAGGGTGACGAGCAAGGAGTAGGGCCAGAAGAAGGAAAGAAAAAGAAGCAAACGGAGGATGAGCAGAAGGAGAGAAGGAGCGGGAGGAGCAGGAGCAATAAGGACAGCAATGATAAATTTACGCGGCTCTTTCTGTATTGCTGGCAACTGTAAATATTTAAATCTTGAAAGCCGGGTATGTTACAAAAAAATAATTTATGGGGTACGATTCTGGGGTATGATTCGGGGGTATGATTCGGGGGTATGATTCGGGGTATGATTCGGGGGTATGATTCGAGGTGCCTCTACTTCTGTTCCCTTTAAAACTTTGAACCCCTCAAAAAAAGAAATACCCACATATACATACACATGTATATGATATATGCATACATATACAACTATATGATGAATAATATATTATATATAATATGAATATAGTTGTTGTATGTCTGGATTTATCTCATTCTATATAGATGCATACATTTATAATAAAATAGTTTTAGCCTGTACTACATACGTAACTATGTATACTGTATGTATAAAAACATCATATTGCACAATAACGTAACAATGTGTACTTGTCATGTCTATCTTGGGTAACTCATGCGCCCTCAATTTTGGGACACAGCTTCCAAAGTTGGGTCCCAACCCTCGGTGCCATGAGCGACGATCTTCCATGAGCACGGGCCTGGAGATGGTTGAAACATTAAAACATGGGATATCATGGGGATTTACCATGAACACTTGGGACACTTGGGACACTTGGGATTGAACGAGGAAAAAGGATTGTATCATTTGCCGATAAGCAATAATATCAATCATCATATCCAATTGGGATCAATTGGGCCTGTCTGAAAATGGTGAAAAAAATGGCCACGAAAGGCTTATACTTTAACAAGGACGATCAACCGATGAACTATCAAATCTAGGGGTACCTAAATGTTGATCACAAATTAGACCTCAATCACAATCCAACGATCAGAAAACATGCTGATCGTTAACTCAAACGTGTTGTGTTTCCAACATATTCCAACATATCCCAGTTGACAACATGACAAAAAGTACATACTACTGCCATCATGCTATCTATAAACATATTCATCCCATCATTAATTCACCAGCAAATCAATGGCTCATCTTCTAAAGGACATCTGCAGATCTATCCAATAGGGGACCCCAATAGCTGGATGGTTCAAAAATGGAAAATCCTATTAAAATGGATGATTTGGGGGGTATCCCCATTTTTGGAAACCTCCATATCATAACAGAATCTGTTGCAAGACTTAAATACTTTATAGGCTTTGGTAGTTGTGACATGGTTGCTACAGTCACTGGCTGTGGATGATCTCACGGATCCGCAACCAAGTGCTTGGCTCTGGCAAGACCGCATAGTTCCTGGCAGAAAAAACATAAGGGTTTTCAACTTTGAGCAGATTCCAAACAAACAACTAAGCAAACAACTTCCGTTTCAGTGCGAGTTTGGTGCTGTGGACTTATCCTAGATAACCCACCAAAAATGGTAGGTAATCTTCTTTTCAGGAATTGATAACAACATTCACGAAGAAATACATAGAATTTGCTTTATAATGCTTTATAATGCTTTATACATTGATACAAATAAAATCTGCGAACTCTTCAATCTTCACATTGTGTTTGTTCTGAGCTTCTCACGAACGGCTTGGAGCCATCCTGCAAGGCAGCATCCCATGTCAGCTTGACTTTGACTCACCCGAAAGAAAAAGAAAACACAACCGCCTCAATCACCCCGAAAGCTCAAACGAAGCATCATCAATGCCTTGAAAGACACATAAAGACACATAAAGACAGGCAAAACGACTTGAATGTCCCTCCCCCTCGGCATTCCAAACCTTGAACGCAATGAGTCGAGAATGTGACAACGCGGAGCACGAGTGCAGTGCGAAGCGAAAACAGCTGCGGTGCACCCTCAATTCTCCTTTGTAAGGAAGCGTTCGACGCTGAGCATGACACCAATGTACGATGCAATGCTAAAGGTCATATAAGGTCATCACTGTGCTCAAGTTCATACATACCAAATTTGCCGTTGATGCTAGTGATGCCCAACTTTGTCAGAGTCTCAAATCGAACATCATTTACTACGCAGCCATGACGCGGCCCACCATTCAGATTTCAACGCAGACATGACTTGTTTAAGCGCCAACTGGGCACAAGGTATGATTCAACCAGCCACTCAACCACTATACCATCACAATGCCATTTCTACCAGTCCCTTGGACCTCAATGGATTCTACGGCTTCGCTCAGCCCTTTTGATTTTTGGCACCATGATGGCGCTACGTCCACTTGGCTGGCTGGAGCAGTTTTCCGCAACCTCATCTAGAAAAAGAACTGCACAAGGTAGCCTTCCATATTATCGAAGGAAGTTTAGAAGCTAAGCTTCCGACAATATGGACAGATGGAAAAGCAAGTGAGAAGCGAGAAAGTCAGAAGTGAGAAGAGAAGAGAGTGAGAAGATGCAGGTGCGCGAAAAGGTAGGAAAGTCGCGAAACACTGTGTTTTCCCAGGGTTCTGTGGCTCCGGAGGGTCGAAAAGTAGGCTCGCTAAAGCGGCGGGTGCGGAGACATCTGGGCAGTTGAGAGATGAAAAGTTGCACGCGCGTGTGGCGAGAAGTACATTTCGAAGTGAAAAGTGGCAAAACACACCATTCTCGGAGCACTTTTGGAAGTTGAGATGTGCAAAAAGTGCACGCGCGTGTGGCGCGATGCACATTTGGAAGTGAAAATGTACAAAACACGTCAGGTCCGGACGACTTTTGGAAGTTGGGATGTTGAAAAAGTGCACGCGCGTGTGGCGCGAAGCACATTTCGACGTGAAAATGTACAAAACACCTCATGCTCGGGCCACTTTTGGACGATTCGAAGGCCATTCGATGTCGAAAAAGTGCACACCGTTGTGGTGCGAAGCACATTTGGAAGTAAAAATGTCAAAAACTGAGGGTTTTGAGCAACTTTTTGATGTGTCAGTGAACTAACTGAACTAACAACGTAACAACTTAAGAACTTAATAACTTAACAGCTTAACAACTTAACAGCTTCACAACTTAGTTAGTTAGTTAGTTAGTTAGTTAGTTGGTCAGTCAGTCAGTCAGTCAGTTAGTCAGTTAGTCAGTTAGTCAGTTAGTCAGTGAGTCAGTGAGTCAGTTAGTCAGTTAGTCAGTTAGTCAGTTAGTTAGTTAGTCAGTTACTTAGGTAGCCAGTTAGTCAGTTAGTCAGTTCGTCAGTTAGTCAGTTCGTCAGTCAGTGAGTTAGTTAGTCAGTCAGTTAGTCAGTTAGTCAGTTCGTCAGTTAGTTAGTCCGTCACTTAGTCAGTTAGTCAGTTAGTCAGTTACTTAGGTATTCAGTTAGTCAGTTAGTCAGTTAGTCAGTCAGTCAGTTAGTCAGTGAGTCAGTGAGTCAGTTAGTCAGTTAGTCAGTTAGTCAGGTAGTCAGTTAGTCAGTTAGTTAGTTAGTCAGTCAGTCAGTTAGCCAGTTAGTCAGTGAGTCAGTTAGTCAGGTAGTCAGTTAGTCAGATAGTCAGTTAGTCAGTCAGTCAGTGAATCAATTAGTCAGTGAGTCAGTCAGTCTGTTAGTCAGTTAGTCAGTGAGTCAGTTAGTCAGTTAGTTAGTTAGGCAGATAGATAGACAGATAGATAGGTTGACGCTCCAACCACCTTTCGATCCATCACTGGTTTCGCTCTGCCATCCATGACTCAAAACAACGAACCTCTCCTATAGGTTTCCTATCTTGAAACTTCCGCCACCGCCTTGTGCGGTACTATGTTATAAATAATATTAACAAGGGTCCAGCATGGTCCAGCCAAAAAAAACTAAAGCATCTGAAGCCCGCTTCCACATTCAACCTTGTGGAGAGCAAGTCAGTGGATTCATAGATGTCACATGGATTCAAATGGGACAAAAACTTGACCAATATCTTGTCCCTAGTTGATTCAGGAGCAAACTTTGGTTTGACCAAAGCAGCCGCTTGCTGTGGCTGAGTGGCAATTGGCAAAGTGAACCTCATGGTTTGTACAAGTGACGTGCAATCTCACAAATCGGAGGGTGGAACTATCCCCTTGAAGAGCTATTCTGTTTGCTTGAAACATGTGACCCCGACACAACGTGAAAAAAGCATAAGCTGACCAGCATGCACCGTGACATACTTAGTCAAATTGGGGACTTGGCACTGCAGTAAGCTCAGATATTTGCGACGAAGACTAGTGACACATGGTCACATGGGCATTCCTGAATGGGGTCTTGCTGATTCTGGGAAGCCAGCTCTACCTCCTGACCCGATGTACCAATTTGCCACCGTCAACCACCTTTCTACCCTTTCATTGAATGGTCGCCTGAGGATCTCTCGAGCGACCATTAGAAACACTGCTTAGCAGTGTGCAGATGCTGGACGGGCAACCAAGACCCGGCAGCCTACCAGTTCGTCTTTGCACTGAATGCTGTATCACTGAGGATTGCTTCCACAGCCCTGGAATACCCAGACCTTCTGCAAAAACGCTCACACTGAAAACGTAAAGATCTTTGGAAACTGCTTCACATGGAACGGGAACAGGGCTTGTTCAAAGTGTTTGACAGAACATTATCAGAATTCTCAGACGCCATCCCTTTCATGACTTTTAAGTATCATCTTTCATGACTTATAAGTATCATATATCATCATATAGTATATTTTTAGATCATATTCGTATTGACTTTGTATCAGCATTGTGTTTAGCCCAGCTGCCCAGCGGTCGATGGTGTCGTGTCGATGGACGCGTCTCAAATGGTGCGCAGCTGCGAATCCTGGGGATCCGACCAGTGGTTCGTCAATTGGGATGATTATTACGATCATTTTCACCAAGATATGGATAGATATGAAAGTCATGTTCCAAACCACCAACCAGCCTATAAACTATAGCTCATTATAGCTCATTATAGCTCATTATAGCTCATTATAGCTCATTATTTATCATTAAACATGATTAATGCCAAACCAGCTGAATTTCAATGTTGTGTGTCTGTCTGAAAATGGGGAATTAGAATGAATTAGATGATTTTGATGTCTGATTCAATATGATTTAGTCGCCCAAAACTGTTCATAGGACACATAAGAAAAAGGGGAAACGATGATACAGTATCTCAATGTATCTCAAACATAAAGAAGCTAAATGGTAAACACATGCAACATCTCTGGCTTGACCCATGTCCATCTGAATGCTACCCCTTCGCTGCCTGCACGTCCTCCGGTGGGCACACCTGTTGACTGTGGAGATGCAGGGGCAATCTTCAGGTCATGATTGGGGGTCTTCCAATGGAGAGTTGGCGCATTGAAGTTTTTCATTATGCGTCTTTCTTCAGTTTTCCCCGCCCTCTTCACAATTTAGTCCTACTTGGACCAGTCACATACATATGATATCATATGATAATATGTTGAACTTCTGGCAATCCCACATCTGCCCATGGCTTCTCTTACATCAAAGAGCAGTTGCCTCGGGACCTAACCCAGCCATCATTTTGTTCCGTTCCTGTCGTAGATAGGGCCTCCTCAACTGATTCAGGGCGCAGCCAGGGTCCCTGCGTTGTTACTAGGTGTGCTGGCAGCAGTCATTTTGTCAGTCAGCGGAGATTGAGTCAGAAAGGATCACAAGACAAAAAAAAACAGAAGTTCTGCATACTTACCGTTCATCCATGAATCTATGCTTCAACATTAAATCTGAACATTTCCAAGACTCATCATGATCATCAGGAAGCATAGCAACATATAGCAAGTCTGCAGGAATCTCATCATGTGTGTATTCATTCATATTCTAATGCATCATATTTCCTGCGGATTCTCAAAGCCGTGTTGCCGTGACTTTCTGATGTATTATCACAGCCAAGTCTGAGTCAAATTTCTTTTTGTGGCAGGCTTGTCCAGCCTGCGGCTGACAGCATGTGGCACTCGAGGAATTCCACCTTCACAAACGAAATCCGCATCAAAACTCCCCGTTGGGATCCTGCCTAGTCACTGCGGCTCCCCACCAGCGCATCCATTGCCAGGAGGCATCTGCAATGGGCATCAGCAACCTTGGCGCTGCGATTCGGCGCCACCCCTTGGCTTAGCATACACACATATACACACGTTACATCTGGCCAGGATACTTTACTCATCAAAACTTTCACCAGAGTAGTCGGTACCTCTCATAGAACTTTCATAAAACTTGGATTGCCCATCTTTTGACGCCGTGACGTGCCTTGCTCGGTGCGCCGGGTTCGGTTCAAAATCAACGACGTTTCTAGATGCGCTCACCGGGGCAGCAGTGCCCGCCGTGCAAAGCCCGCCATTGACAATGGTGTGAGCAAGAAAATATTGATTATCCTATTCTCATTGGATTTTGATAATTCCATGGTTTTGATTGTTGATAATCAATGGATATCCTATTTTCAGGGGATTGATTATCAACAATTTTTATGGTTTAACATTCCCCTGGTTATCCTTTGGGTAACCATGGTTTAATTCTTAAAATCACAATTTTCAATGGGTAAATCCAGTATAAATGGCAATTTTCAATAGCGAAGTGTGAGTAATTACCATTTCGGGCAATTGTTGATAATTCGTTGATGAACAATCCATGATTACTCAATCCCTTACAATCCATGGCCAACCATGGCCGAACCGTGCAGAATTGGCGGAGTTGCGGCAGGAGCTTGCTGACACCACCAGCGGCCCCCCCGGCTGGATCAGTCTTCTCTTCCAGCACCTGGGTTCCAACCGGCTTCAGGATCGCAGTCAGGGACATAATAATAGGTACGTGCAAAACATATAAATCTTAATGTATACTATGTATGTATATATATATTATATTATATATTACATAGTACATATTACAGATCACATATTACATATATATTACATATTACATATTACATATTACATAATACATAATACATCATACAGTATACATTAATACATTATTATATATACATTATTATTCATTATACATTATACATTATTATACATTATACACTACACATTATACATTATATATATATTATAATCTAAAATGTATCTTATATATAATATACACGTATAATACGTATAATTTGTATATATATATATACATGTATACTGTATACACATGTACATACACATGTATATATACATACATATCACATAAAATTGACTGTATCTATAGTTATGTACCTATATTAATATATATATATATACATAATTATATATATCCACACATACGTATACATTGTATATGTCATGTATAATCATGCATATATACATAGAAAAACATATTCCCATATGTATATATATATTACCGTATACATAATATACTACTATATATCATATACAAATATATAATACAAGTAAAAATCCAAAGACTCCACAAAGATTTTCGCCGTGATCTGAAGAAATTGATTGCGCACAGTCTAAAGTCAACAGCTGCCTCATCAACTGCCAGTCAACTTTGATCTCAGATTAGCTTTCAGTGGCTCAGAGGAATCTAAGGGTTCTAAAAAAAACATACAAGTTGAAATTGCCTCAAGAAAAACATAGGGCCAGTGGCCATTGGAAGTTCAGGCAGCATTAACATGCATACATCACACATATAATATCATAAATACGGAATACACAGACAGGTTTTCCAAACAAGATCAAACCTACAGCACCCAACAACAGTTGATCCATAAACTTACGACACTTATGCTTGGTCAGTGGTCTGTGTGTGGGTTTCACCCAAGTTCCTCGGGATCCCTCGGGAGCACCTGTCTCCTATTCTGGCTGGCCCTCGGTCGTGAAGGGAATGTTCATACGCTTCGTGTCCTTCCGTCATTTGCAAAGCTGATGAGCCTAAAAAGTCCTTCCCCTATCAGACCCCGGGTGAAGTAGTGAAGAAGCATCTACAAAGAAGTATTCTGGTCGCTTCGCGACGACAACCGCCCGCACCGGAGTGTTAGCTTCGGAGTTCCAAAAAATAAAGCCATATGTGCTATGCTGGGCCTTTGCAAGGCACATGTTGGGAGTTTGTTGGTCCAATGTTGGCTCTATGTTGGGCCGTGTTGGGCCGCGTTGGGCTGATGTTGGGCCCATGTTGGGCCATGTTGAGCCCAAGTTTGTGCAACTTGGCCGATTTCACGACCCTTTCAAAAACGTGGAAAAACCCACGATTCTAGAGCAAAAATGGTCCCTTCCCCCGTACGAGGGAATAATAGGTATAATACGGTTTACCGTGGTCTGCCTCTACAATAGGTCATCAACTCAAAAGCTATATAATTAATTAATTGAATAATTAAGTGTGAAAAAGGCTTGTCACTTTTAGTTTATTTAATTATTTAATTTATTTGATTTATTGAATTTATTGAATTAATTAAATAATTAAATAGTTAAATAAATTAAATGTGAAATAGGCTTTTCACATTTAATCTATTTAATTATTTAATTGTTTGGGGTTCACATTTTCCAAAAACAGTTCAATATTCAATTTACTTAATTTATTGAATTCACTAAATAATTAAATAAATTAAATGTGAAATAGGCTTTTCACATTTAATTTATTTAATTATTTAATTGTTTGGGGTTCCCATTTTCCAGAAACAATTCAATATT